TGGGCTTGTTCAGCCTGGAGAAGAGAAGGCTGAGAGGGGATCTCATCAACACCTACAAATATCTCAAGGGTGGGGGTCACGAGGACGCAGCCAGACTCTTCCCAGTGGTGCCCAGCGCCAGGACAAGGGGCCATGGGCACAACCTGAAGCAGAAGAGGTTCCAGTTGAACGGGAGGAAGAACTTGTTGACTGTGAGGGTGCCCGAGCCCTGGCCCAGGCTGCCCAGGGGGGCCGTGGAGTCTCCTTCTCTGGAGATCTTCAACCCCCGCCTGGCCGCTGTCCTGTGCCCCCTGCTCTGGGTGAGCCTGCTTGGGCAGGGGGGTGGCACTGGGTGAGCTCCGGAGGGCCCTGCCAGCTCCTACCAGTCTGGGATTCTGGGATTCTCTGGGTGCATGCATCCCCAGTCCCCTGGGTGCACACATCCTCAGTTCCCCAGGTGCATGCATGCTCCATCCCCAGGGTGCACATGTCCTTGCGTTCCCCAGTACATGCATCCCCAGTCCCCGGGGTGCACGTGCCCTCGGTCCCTCGGGTGCACATGTCCTTAAGTCCCCTGGGTGCATGCATCCCCAGTTCCTGGGTGCACGTGTCCTTGGTCCCTCAGTACATGCATCCCCAGTCCCCAGAGTGCACGTGCCCTCGGTCCCCTGGGTGCATGCATCCCCATCCCCAGGGTGCACATATCCTTGGTTCCCTGGGTGCATGCATCCTCCATCCCTGGGGTGCCTGCATCTTCAGTCCCCAAGGTGCACACGTCCTCGGTCCCCCGCGTGCACATGTCCTTGGCCCCCTGGTGCATGCATCCTCCATCCCTGGGGTGCACGTGTCCTCGGTCCCCCAGCGCCTGCATCCTCCACCCCACGCAAGGACACGTGCACCCATCCTCAGGATGTTTGGTGAGCTCTGATGCCCACGCAGAGCGGTGGGATGGGCTTGGCCCAGGGCGACCGGTGGGGATGGAGACCCCCCCATGGCCTGCAGAGCGGGGACCCAGGAAACCAGCAGAGCCACAGCAGACTCGGGCCCCAGCACTGGCATGGCCAGAGCAATGCAAACACCAGCGGAAGAGACACAAAATCCCACCCCGGCTTCCTCTGGGGCCTCGCTCCGTCTCTTGGAGGATTTATTCCCGGGAGAAGTCTTCCAGCCATAAACATGAGCGATGGCACGGGCTGCTGCTGCCTAACAGCATCCGCAGGGCCGGGCCCCGGCGCGATGGATGGAGTCTGAAATGAAGAAATAAATCTGGCTGCAGACCGAGCTCCTCCGGGCCGCTTCTTTTTGCAGCTCGAAGCTGCTCGTGGTGGTCTGGGGCACGGCGGAGGGAGAGGGACCGCATCCCTCGGGATGCTGGGGAGCTCGTACCAGCAAACCTCCCCCCCTGGGTTGCTGTGGTCTCCATCTGCACCACGCGCTGTGGCTCTCTCCTGCTCCTGCCTCAGCTCCTTGCCATGAAAAGAAAGAATAAAATGGCTGGAAAACCTCAGGGTGGGCTTCGAAGCCCTGATCCGAGCACCAGCAGCTTGGGAAGGATGATCTGCCAAGGCCCAAGCGTGAGGAGCAGCTCCTGCAGCTCCCAGGGCAGCTCGCAAGAGCCTGGGTTTACTTCTTAAGCCATGCTTGCAGTTCCCGCTCTCCAAACCCACCTTGGAGAACAACAACAAATAGATGTCAAGAGGAGAAATCACGATGTGTCCCCAGGGGAGCGGGGGCTCAGCCGCTCTGGGCGGGTGGGTGACAGTGGCAGCACCCGACATGTCCAGGACCTGGCCACCAGGACAAGGCTGGGTTTGCAAGGCTGCTTGCAGGGAGGCTGCCCAGCTCAAGGGGGGGAAAACGGGGGCAGAACCCCCAGATCTCCCATTCCAGCTCTGCTGGTGC